GGGGGCCAGGGTGGGTGGCCGGGGAAGAGGGTTGTGTGGGGGCAGCTGATTGTGGGCATGGGGCAGGGGCTGATTGTGTGTGTGCCCTGCAGGAAGCCTGCCCGCCCTGGTCTCGCAGCACTCCATCACCCCCATCTCTCTGCCCTGCAAGCTCCGGATCCCCAGCAGAGGTACGTCCCCGGGGGAGGGGGCACCCCCATCCCAGGCGCCGAGGACCTCTCAGCCCCAGGGGCCCGTGGCGATGGGCTCATCTGACACTGGTGCAGAACATGGGCTGCACACAGCCACTCTTGCCCCCCAGGGAGGGGGCAGCACCCTCCCCGCACACCCCTGCCAGAATAGAGGGAGGCCCTGCCCTGACTGCGCTTTCCCACAAGAGGGCGTTACCCGCAGGTTTGAATCCCGCCTGCATCCCTCAGCCCTGGCCCTGCTGGAGGGGTGCGGGGGATGCACTGGGGCCCACGGCGGTTCCCGGTTGCTTGGACTAGGCCAGAGGCCCAGGGCCCCTCTGCTCCGTGAGGGCGGCACACAGATCCCTTCCAAACAAGGGCTTGCTTTGCTGTTAGCAGGCCAGATCCCCCACCCCCACACTGACACGAACTCAGGCCGCACAGACATGTGAACCCAGGAGTCCTGGGCCCCAGGATGTGCCCCTGGCAGAGCTGGGAATGGAACCCAGGAGTCCTGATTCCCAGCACTCGCCCCTCCCCTGCCCTAACCACTAGCCCCCCACGCCCCTCCCTGTCCTGGGAATGGAACCCAGGAGTCCTGGTTGCTTGCTGCAGCCACTAGCCACACGGCCTCAGCATCCCTCTCTCGCTCAGATCCCGTGGAGGAGACCCCGGACGTGGCCATCCCCACCAACGTGAGCACGGCGGCTGATTTGCTGAAGCAGGGAGCGGGTAGGTCGGGCGGGCCGAGCAGGGTGGGCTGTCCTAGCACCCCCTTGGGACTGGGAGCCGGCTGCGGGGGCGGTAGGGATCACATGGGTAGTTGTGGGGTCCTGGGAGACGCCCACCCACTGGCCACTCAGCACAGAGCCAGCCCAGGCGGGGATGGAGGCATGGTACAGCGGGCCAGGCCCTGCCTCGTGCCCACCCACCCTGGCAGTGCAGGGGGGGCCTGGCTGGGAGATCCAGACTGGGGTGGGAGAACCTGTCCCTTGGGGTCTGCAGAGGGGGACCTGGGGGGGGTGACAGAGAGTTGGGGGTGGGGGTGGGGCCAGCTGGCTCCCCAGTCAGACCTGCAGGGGGTGGAGGGGGCCGGGGATTGGGGGCGGGGGGAACGAGGCCCCCTGGGGCTGCCCCCGGCGCTGACGGCTCATCCCTCGCCCAGCCTGCAGCGTGCTCTACCTCAGCTCGGTGGAGACG